TCCTTCCTTCCTTCCTTCCTTCCTTCCTTCCTTCCTTCCTTCCTTCCTTCCTCTCTCTTTCTCCCCCCTCCATCCCTCCTTCCCTCCCTTTCTTTTTTGATTTGGTAATAGGGATTGACTCCAATGGCCTGTGCTCACTAGACAAGCATTCTACCACTGTGCTAACTCCCAAGGCCCTCTATTCAATATATGACTCTTTGAACCTACCCACAGACACAGAATTCTTGTTGATGGACGGCCATCTAGTGACTAGGGACTATAACATCAAACCCTGGCTCAGCCCTCTGAGGACAGAAGGAAGAAACGAGCTCAGGGTGAGGATACACTCGAGCTACGTGCCCCAATGGGTCTTTGATGGGAATGCCCTGGTTGTTTTTGAATTCACATGGCTGGAAGAACAGCCTTGATGACTTCCTTTGGAGGAGACAGCTGACTTCCTTCATGGTTGCCCAGCTAGCTGGCTGGTTTTTTGTTTTTGTTTTTTGTTTTATTTTTTTTGAAGGCTGACACCTGTTGAAGCATCACACCAGAGGCAGCCACTCCAAACACATGTGACAGCTTGTTATAAACAGGAAAAAGAGGCTCCATTTGCATAGAGGCCCAGGGGAACACAACTGGGCAAGTGAATCAGAATTGAGTTCTATCTACTGTCCATGTCCTAAACTGGGTCCCAATAGCGGGGGTAACATGCAATTGCAGGTCTCATCCTGAATGTGCAGAGAGAGCGCCAGCAAGGACCATGAGCTCACCAGTATGTTACCAGATCCCCTTGGCATGGGACATACATGTATGTAGTACACTGGGACCAGGGACACAGGCATGGCCCTGGAGAAGAGCAACTGTACTTGTCTTTAGAAGGACTGTGTCTCAATATTGGGCTCACTAAAAAAAGCAGAAGGAGCATTTTTTTAAACTATGGGGTTCACACCCCAGAGCTTTTATGAGCAGTGTTTTCAGTTCAACAAAGATATTCATTTCTGATTCATCCACAGCAGTTCTGCATGTAAGATGAACACAACACAGCCTCGAGGCTCAGTTTCTGTTTCAGGGTGCCTCTTGTGGAGTAATGAACCTTTCAAGATGACTCATGCCCTTCCTAACACAGCGTCCCAGTTGTAGAATGGTATATGGTCAGTCCTCTAATCTAGGAGTTTGGAGTCTGCAACTCAACTAACCTTTTCCTGCAGTGAAAGGAAAGATTTACTGAATGTGTAAGAATTTTTCTGATCATTTTTTTCCCTAAACAATACAGGAGAGCAGCTATTCACATCATATTTCTACTGCATTGGGTGTTTTACTTTGGTTTAAGTACAGCAGAAGGTTTACCTATGTTGGACACACATACTGTGCAATTGATATGAGGGAACTGAGTATTCGTGGGGTGTCTTGCAAGCCATCCCCTCCCCATACTGAGGCAGAACTGTACTTCTCTTCTCACGATGGCGACAAATGACTTGTTCCAACTAATGAGCCATAAGACAAGAGGCGGTGCCCTGAGCAGAAGCTTAAAGGCAATCCATGCCTCTGCTTATGCCCTAGGCGTGTGTCAGTCTGTTATTGTTTAATAACTGAAATGATCTCTCTCAAAGCTACAAACAGTGTGTGGGCAGGAGTGTCACATTATGGCGGATTGAATGAGCATGGTCCCAATAGGCAAGTGTGTTTGAAAACATGACCTCTACTTGGTGGAACTGTTTGGGAAGGATTAGGAGGTGTGTCACTAGTGGTAGGAGGTTTAAAAAGCCCATGTCATTCCCAGTTCTCTCTCTCTCTCTCTCTCTCTCTCTCTCTCTCTCTCTCTCTCTCTCCCCCTCCTCCTCCCCCTCCCTCTCCCCTCCCCCTCTCTCCCTGCCTCTGTCTCCTGTGGATCAGTTGTAAACTCTCATCTACTGCTTCAGTACCATGTCTGTCTGCCTATTGCCATGTTCCCCACCAGCTGTGACAAGAGGCCACTCTTCCAGGCTGAGTCTATTAGGGGATAAGCAAGTTGTAAAGCCTGTGATATGCCCAGCAGTGATGGTGAACATGTGTGGTTAACAGTGCTGAGACTCCCACTAATATGCAACACAATCTTTATAAGGGTAGCCACACTTAACCTTGCCTCCTACATGGCAAGACCCAGACTCCTGAAACTTGCATTAAAAGCAGCACTTGGGAGATGGGAAGCCATGGGAAAGCCAGGTTTGGTATTCAAAATATTCTCAATTTAACTTGAAGTACTTATGAAAATCAATACCTTTGAAATTCTAGGTGTGGTACTTGATAATAAACCTCATGGAAGAAACGCTTACCGGCAAGTTGTTGCTTGTTTCCTGAAGGGTCCAGACACTTTGTTTTAAAGTATTCTGGTGGAGAAAGGAAAGAGACTTCAAAATTCTCATCCAAAACATCAACACCATAGGCCTTGTGTCAGGCCCTCTCCTAATACAGACATCAGATCTGATTGTATAGTGTAATGGCTGCATTCTAGAGAGCAGGGCAGACATGAGCAACAATGGGGACCTTAGGCGCCGTTTATGTGTAAGAAAATCTATAGAAGAAAGACAGGATCATATTCAAAGGGCTGCATATCACACACAGCATACAGGAGCTCCTTCAAAAAAGGTTTAATAGGTGGGAAAACTTTAAAAAAAAAAGTCTGCCCATCAAGCATGGTTTACCTAAATGGTTTAGGTTAAGGTGGGCAAACTTTATCTCTAAAGAGCTGCATTGCAAATACTTCAGGTTTTACGGGCCACATTCTATCCTTACAGCCAACAGCAGCCAGAGATAGTTTTCTAATAAGCTCCAATGGTTGTGTCCCAATAAAACTTTATTTAAAAAAAAGAAAAACTGGCAGCAGGCTGTATTGGGTCAGACTGTGGTTTATGGGGAGTGGCAGTTTGCCAGCCCCTGCCTGGTGTGGATGATAGATCTACAGCCAGGTTGTCCTAGCTCTAAAAAGACCAGGTTATTCTGTCTACTTGAAGAAAAGCATTGAGGAAAATGCAAACAACAGTAAGAATGCTCACATATGCTCACTACATTCTAGGTGTGCGCAAAGGCAGAGAATTGTAGAGAGCCAATACACGGAGTATATGAATACAATAGGAGAATCCTGTGGAACTCTAGCAAACCAGGAAGTAAGAAGGAGAAGAGACAGAGACGACCAGGGTGAAAACTAGATCCATACGTGTCTATGTCAGAGAGGATGGACTTGCATGCATTGCAAACCCGAGCAGCTGACCTAGTGACCCAGTTTCCACAGCTCTCCCTTTGACAGCCACAAACAGGCCCAGGAGCAAGTGTAACATCAATTCCTTCCTCTGGTTCCTGAGTCCCCAAGTTCAGAGGTCGGACATTTCCATGGACCAAGTAATAGTGAGTAGGAGCCACCCCAATATCCCAGTCTTCTCACTTTTATTATTCAAAACCTTACAGTTTGATGAGGACACTGGAAATCATTATGTATTAGAGGGACAAACGAGGGATCTGAAACCATGTCTGTGGGATCTCAAACTGTAAACCACCTTTGGTTTCTATAGAACTATAGATGCGAGGGAACAGAAAGTTGGGAGGTTTGGAGTAGAACAGAGGAGAGAGACTAGCCAGGGATGGAGCCAACAAAGCTAAAGGAAACAGAAGTACTTACCCTCACCCTCACAAATTTCTAAGCAGAGTTTGGAGAGAAAGAATTGGAGAATGTGTCAGCATGGGCACAATCACACCACCCAGGAGGCCTACTAGCTGGGGTGTAGGCTAAAGTGAGGTGCTGGAGACAGGTGTGTGTGTGTGTGGGGGGGGGAATCTCACTGCTCACACCCTCATGAAAGGAAGAGATCAGTGAAGGAAAGTGTGATTTAAGGTAGTGGTTTTTAAAGTCCAGGTCTGTATTTGAAGCTAAGGATGAGCGGATGGGCCCTCTCTCATATGTGGGTGTCTTGAGGCTATCTGCGACTAAACTAGCTAACAAGGTGCTGGATTTCACTCAGGCTGCCAGGAAACGCCGTAGGTTGTTAACAGTTACCAGTGACTGCTGCACAGGAGGGATGTGATGCTGGTGGATGGTTCTAATATTCTGTGCATCCATTAGCAAGGCCTGCTTCAACTTCCCTTCAGGCTACAAAGAAAAGAAAACATATAAGGATCAACAAGACCTCAGCGCAGACTCTTTAGCCATAAAGGAGACCAGAAGACACTACATAACTACAGGATCCCCTCGTAGACAATCATGACAAGGGTAGGCATCAGGGCTAGCCCAGAGATGTAGCACCTAGACAAATGTCTTCAAACTACCAAGCCACAGATCAGCAATAATTCACACTCCTAAACACAAGGTGCTGTGGTTTCTTTTCCTCTGTCCCCAAATGATATAGCCAATAAAGTTCCCTGTTTTACTGTGGAGAAAACCCAAGGCTCACTTGAGAGTTAATCAAGTTAATTTACACTTAAATGATGGTCAGTATATGGACTATAACAATCCTGTAAGGCAGGTATAATTTCTGCCTCCATCTTACAGATTGGAAAACTAAGGCACAGGTGGGTGAAATTCCTGGCTCAAGCTACTAGTATTAGGAGTAGACTGAGTCAGGGTTTAAACCTGGGTCTTCCTCTAGAGCCCAGCTTCCTTGTCACCATAGCCTACTATTTGTTAGAGGGGACCGGTTGGGGCATGTAGAAGGGCTGATGGTGGGGAGGTCTGTGGGCTATGATGGTGCCTCTGCACAATCTTCTATGCTCACTGTTGGTGATGCAAGGAATGTCTCAGTTACCACGCCTTACAATGCAAGAAAAATATGTGTGTCTACATATGTATGTGTGCATGTCTATATGAGTGTACGTGTCTATATATCTGTGTGCATGTATGTGTGTATGTCTGCGTGCTGTGTATGTATACATGTATCTATCTGTGTGTGTCCCTATGTGTGCATCTGTGTGTGTGTATATTCTGTGTGTATGTATGTATATATCAGCATATTGTGTGTGTATATATCTGTATACATGTATATGTCTCTGTGTGTCCCTATGTGTGCATGTCTGTGTGTATGAGTGTGTGTATATTCTATGTATATGTATGTATGCATATGTGTGTATCTGTGCACATATGCATGCTGTGTATGTGAATGTGTGTGTATGTATGTGTTTGAAGTGGAGGTGAGGATCCGTGAAAACACACACACAGGTAAAAGCCTTCTGAACCATGGAGGGACAGTTGCCGATGGGGCCTCTAATGCACTAGTGAGGTGCTTGTGAGACACTGTCCAGCCATGGTGACAGGTACCTCTTTGTGGCTTACAAAACAATGCTAGTGACATTTGCTGTTCCAACTACCACAGTATTTAATCAGGCTACTCAAAACTCACCAACTGCTTTGCTTTTGCTTCCAGATTAGAGGCAAATGTCAGCAGATCCACTTTGGTAGGGGATTTCTCGGCCTATCAGGGAGGAAATGAGAAACAAAACAAAACAAAACAAAAACAATTTAGACAAGGGCTTTTGAAATCTGAACCATCAAAACATAACATTTTGAACAGAGGGCCAGAGCCATCAGGTAACAAAATAAAGCTAGAAACTGTTACATAGCTAACAACCTTTGCATTTCTATGTATATGTACCATTTTCATTCCCCCATGAAGACGAAGGCTACAAATACACACTGTAATATTCATGGATTTTAAAAGCATGCTTAGTGAAATAATCTAGAATAGCGAGTCACAAACTATATGTTTCTACTTATATGGGTTATTCAGAATAGAGCACAGATAGGTGGCTGCCAGGAGTTTGGAGCTGGGGAACGACTGCTTTTGGGTAGAGTGCTTCTGTGGGTGATGAAATGATACTAGAGCTGGAGGTGCTAACTATAAATACATTAAATGTCCCGAAACTGCTGGCCTTAAAAAGGCTGGCCTTTATGCCATGTGAACCACTACTGTGATAAACAGAAATGAAAACGAAACACATGTGTGCAGTATTCTAATTTCTCCCCAAATACCATGCATCCGTATCTGACTCATACCTCCGCCAAGTACGTGGAATAACTGATTGCATCTATCCCAGAATTTGCAAAGTCCTCAAGGCTCTTCCTTCCTGTGTTATCCAGCAGTTCGATGTTATCAATTTTCACATTCAGATTGTCCAACTCCTCGACTATGTTTTCAGAAAGCTGTGTTAAAGAAAAGCATCCTTTCAGCCACTTACTCAGTGCCTTCAAGAAGAAGGGGGGTCACTACATCAAGAGAGATGCATACACTTTGATTGAAATCACCACCTCCTTCTCTGTCTCCATAAGCATTCTGTCTGGAGGTGTAATCTAAAGCGAAGTAAGATGGCATCTCCACCCTTAAAGACCTCAGAGCAAGAGGCTGAGTCATAAGAGAGGGACACACAAACTCTGTCAGAAGGCCAGACAGAGAGGACTCAGTGGAAATGGTCTATAGAGAAGAAATGACCTCTAAGCATCTAGCCTTGACAGAGATGCTGAAAGGACACAGCAGGCTGTCATTCCAGGAAGGGGCAGCAGTAGGAAGGCATAAGACATATCTTCTGGGAGACAAAGATCCTGGGAATGTGGTTGCTTGATGTGGGGTTGTTTTAATAGCCAATCAATAGTTTCCATCAGTATACAGTATACCTTTCTCAACTGTTACATAGTGGGGTACAGGGATGGCATGTTGGACAAAAGAATGTAAAATATCTGTATCTAAATTAAATGTAAAATATCTGTATCTATTACATATCTCTCTCTCTCTCTTTCTCTCTCTCTCTACACACACACACACACACACACACACACACACACACACATATATATATATGCTATTACTGGAGGTACTGCATAGAAAACTCACATAAACCTTTCAAACAAAAGGTCCTCACAATGAAAAGCAGTAGCCATCTTGGTTTCTCTAATGATGCCAACATGAGCAAGATGAGGGGTGGGACCTTCTACCCTGGTCTTGCTTAGGTTCTAGATAGAACTTCATTATGGAAGCTGAGAAGACTTAGAAAGGCCTCCCAGTAGGAAGACTGAGGACAACTAAGCTAATTGTTCTCTAGACCAAGAGCGGGAACTTCTGCTCTTTCTTCTATCCAGGGTGCTCTGGGGTGGCCTTTCCTCAGCATCTCAAGATACAACAAGGGTGTGGGCTGAAGCACAGGTCAGACAGTTATTCTCCTTTGGATTCCATCCTTTCTGCTCCTCATAACAGGTGGCTATGGCTCACATAACTTATTCAGGAATCCTGAGGTGGCAGTGCGTAAGGTGTAAGGAATGAAGACAGTGGCAACCATACTTTTCCATCTCTAATTCCAAAGTCTAGGACCTGGCAGAATAGAGGAACTGGTTTTAAAGAGCCAATGTCCCTGGAAAGTGAGTAGGCATCTTCTTGTAGAGCATGCTTGCTCAATGAAACTAAGGGTTTCATCTTACAGGAGACCTCTTTGGAGGGTCTTGCATAGTCTATAGAATAACTGTGAAGAAGATAAGGACAACTGGTTGGCGGTGAGGAAATGTTAGGAGATTAACAGATAAGAGCGAGGATTGCAAACAGCTGCCGGAATAAGTAGATCCTACGCAAGACTGAAGGAGAAAGTCTTGGCCTGAATCTACCTCATTTGGCATTATCGAAAGTCATTAGAGGAACTAAGGGGGCCATGATGGCTCTACAGCTTTCCAATGCCAAGAGCTTTTACTAGACTGGTTTTGATGCATTTTGTACCCATTGTAAACTACTTGATGTCACTTTAAAACTGTGTTTTAACTTCTGTGGGCTTCACATCAGCCTTAACCAAAGGGAAGAAATAAACCTACATTTAGTAAAACAAAGTCAAGGTTATGACTGGGTCTAATGACTCACCTTCTCAATGTTGAAATTCTCACTGATGTTGAAGACATTCTCAAGCTGAAAAGCAGCATACACACCTCGACCTCTTTTGCAATCCCTATGGAAAAGAACAGAGAAAACACGACTAGTTCAGCAGAAATGGCAATTTCTGCTGCCATTAAAGATAAAGGAAGAGGTTTATCATCTATCAGACTAGTAGGAGCATTTCTTCACCTTGTCAAAAGTGTCTGATGGGAAGTGAATACCCCCAGTTAGCCCAAATTTAGACGGAAGGTAATATCACACACTATTTAGAGGCTTCCTCTAAAAGCCCAACTAAAAGAATTTTAGGCAAGTAAAAGAATTTTTCTTTGAATGGGTTCTAACAATGGAGAGCCCTCAGGACAGATAACCATGAGTTTGAGGTTCTGAAGCAAGACCTCTAGAAGTCATCTGGTACTTTCACATATGCACCCATGTGGCTACTGAACATCAAAAGACATTTATGAACAAAGGTGGAAAGACACAAAGGGGATCATGAAAATGACCACCTCTTCCACCCAAAAGGAAAGAAACATTATACAGAAGAAGATGCTTCCAGGGCAAGGATGCTGATTGCTTGAATGTTTTCTCAGCCAACTCACTACTAATGGGACGGAAAATGAAAGAAAAGTTTTAAAGTGAGGGGTCCATTACACACGAGGAGTCTGTGTCACGTTACTGGTGCAGGACTTGAAGATTTAAGGTTATAAAGGGTTGGAGATATCTGTGTATTCAGTTAGCATCGCAGGGATATTAGTGACAGAAGTCAGGATATTCTGCCAATGTCAAGGGTGGATGATGCACAGAAATGAACAATGCTTGAACACTGCTTATCATGTTCTTATCTTGTGTCAGGCAAACGCATGCATCTCACTTGACTCTAACAACTCCAAGAAAGGATTCCTGTGGTTATGCATCAAATTGAATAGAGAAGAATTAATCTGTCCAGATCCACAGGAACTAGGCTGGACCCCAGGTGATCTGATTACACAATGCACAAGCTAGCCCTAAAGCTGACTCACTATTGAGTGTCTGTGGTATGTGCCACCCTCTGAGTTCTTAAAAGATCCTGTTCATGCGTATTATTGTTACCTTAGCCAGGGAATCTTAGGGAATATCAAGATAAGGGAATGGAGAAATCACCAAGACCAGATCACAAGGGCTTGAAATGATGACACTTCCTATAATATTTCCTATAATACTTTTCTGAGACTAGAAAAATACCTTACTTCTGAAATTGGAACTTTATACCATTAAGTGGGGGAAAAAAACACTGAAAATAGAATTCTCATTCTTAGCAACAAAGAAAAACATTGCCAACAGGAAAGTAGTTGGAGATTGGTTCTAATGCTTTGAATCTGCATGTCCAGATGCTGAAGGCCCTTGTCCCCAAGTGTCTTTTGATCTATCAATAAATAAAGATGTCCATAGCCAATGGCTGGGTACAAGGTGGGATACTGAGAGTTGCATGGGTAGTGCAGAAGAAAGAGAGGGTTGGAAAAGAAGGGGACACAGTAGCAGCAGGAGACAAAGCCAACTAGCCATGTGGCCACTGGCCACTTCCCCAGTCGGACCTGGGATATCAGTGGAAGATTTAGGAGAATCCAGCCTTTGAAGTAGCCAAGGTAGCGTGGCCTGCCCAGGAGCATAAGGCGGGGTAGCAAAAACTACCCACAACAGAAAATGTCTATTGTGAGAATTAATACCTGTAGACTTGCTCAAAGGTCATGTTAATGTCTGGGTTATTGAGCAGCATGCCAGAGAGATAAAATTGCCATTGTTCCTTGAGCAGGTAGGGAGTGTCCAAGACCTGGAACAAATACAAAAGTTGTTTTAAAGACAGTTGTACAACTAGCTCATACAATCAAATGTGTCACTCAGATATTTTTGGGATATTTTCTACTGTGATATTTCTTAATCCTTTTAAGAGAAAAGGATGGCACAATTAGCATAAATTAGAATACACTGAGCACCAATTTAGCATCCATCAGCTGAAATTGTGTTTTTAGAGCAACGTCAATTTATTAGACACACGCGAAGACGGGCTAGACTATTTGGTTTAGAAAAACAAGATCAAGTCATAAAGCAATAGTCTCAGTCCCTCAGGATAAAATGAATATTTATTTTCCAGTTGGCCATAAGGGTACTCGCCTTTAACCCTGCATTCTGGAGGCAGATGCAGGCAGATCTCTGAGTTCTAGGCTAGCCAGAGCTACTTAATGAGATCCTGTCTTAAAAATAAAACAAAGAAAATCAGCCGTCACTTTCCAATTCTATAACACACATTAAAGAGACGTACAATAGTGTGTGGCCGTGAATCTGCTGTCCAAGCACCAGGCTTAGCACCCCCTCCCAAAATGCTTAGGATCGAGTGTTGCAGATTTTGATTTTTTTTTTCTGATGTTAAAATATTCACACACAGGTGTAAAGAGACACTTAAGGTACAGGACCCAAGGCCAAACATGAAGTTCACCTATGCCTACTCATTTTCCTATGCACGTAACTTGAAGGTAATGTTCTACCATTCTTCTTTTAGGAAGCTAAAGAGAGATGATGCAGTCCACTGGTGGTCTCAGTTTAGTTTCTCTTGACTAATGATAACTGAAGCGACATTTGGTTACCTTGCAGTCATTTGTTTGTTTTTATAACAGATGCCAAGTGGAAAACATACACACAATAAAAGCGGGAAATATAAACAGGTTTCAGAAGTAAGGATCTGTGGCTGGAAACATGGCTCTGTGGGTAAGTGTTTACTGTGCAAGTGGAAGGACCTGAGTTCAGATCCTAGCACTGATGTAAAGGAAGAATGCAGAGGAGTATAACACTAGTACCACAGGGCAGAGGAGGGCAGACCCTCGGGACTTACTGGCCAGGTAATGTAGCCAACTTAGTGAACTCAAGATTCCGTGAGAGCTCCTGTCTCAAAATGTAAAGGGGAATAGACGAAGACATCTGACATTGACCTCTGACCTTCAACCATGCATACACAATACTACATACACAAACATCACACACATGCACACACACAAATCAGAATCTACAGAAAAATACTAGGAAGCCAGACATATGAACCAAACCTCTATCTATATCAATGAAGAAAGTGAAAGCACAGACTGAGTCCTGGAGTCTTGTGAGTCAGTCTCGGGGAAAGCAAACCTGAAATTCAACTCTTAACTGTGCCTCCTTGATATCTACCATTCTCTCTCTCTCCCTCTCTCTCTCTCTCTCTCTCTCTCTCTCTCTCTCTCTCTCTCTCTCTCCCCCTCCCTCCCTCCCTCCCGCCCTCCCTCCCCCCCCCCTCTGAGTTTTTTAGTTGATACAACCCACAAGATATGGTGAGACGAAAGAATCGGTCCAAGCCTCCCGTATAAGTAGGAAACCATATTTACCTGTAATAGTTTCTTGTTTTCATAGGGTTCACAGAGCAACTTTTCCACATTTGCACCAACAACAAAAGTAAGAACCACAAGGATCATCAATATCCAGCAAAAAAGGAAGCTGAATCCAACTCCACTGGAAAGAATACAAAGACATGAGTGATACCTGGGACTTCTCACTAATTCCATCTACTCGTCATGTACAGCGGACCTGCCATCTCCAGTGCTTTTGGGTTAAACATACATTGACCTACCACAAAGAAAGAGGCTTAGAACATGCTTACAGAACACTTAGAATGATAGTGTTGGGTCTACCTATGGTCTCATATGGTCTAGAGCCTGGGCTCTGGGGTCAGTTCAGAACTAATTCTAAGATATAATTCTGTATATAGTTATCTATCTATCTATCTATCTATCTATCTATCTATCTATCTATCTAT